AATAAACCGTCTATATCCCGGGGACAAAGATTTCCAATTCCTTTGTACTGTCTGCTCGATAACACTTAGGACTGTCTCCATTCACTCACTTTATCAAACACCATCAAGTAACAACTACCTGTAAGGGAAAGCTTCCAATCTCTACTGCCAACCAAGATGGCACACCATCCACCTTTCTCTCAGTCACCATGACATGAAGGGAAAAATCATGGTTAGCCAAATTCAGTTCACCCCACAGTATCAGTCCTGCTTACTAAAAGTGGCCCACTAGGAACTCACATACCATATCTTCCACTCCCCCATCCACAAGACCTTTTTTCTCCCAAACTTGTTGAAAAAATAACCTTTTGATATTTGTTCACTTCAAAGTAATACCCTATAAGGGAAGTGTCTCAAGCCAGTCAAGGAGCCAAAGGAAGAGAGAAAGCAAGAAATCAACAGATGAGTCAAGCCACCACACCAGGCCTCAGCTGATTTGGCCCATCTGCTCCTGGCCTTGGGTAAACCACCGGCCTTTGGCTAAATCTTCCTAGCTCCATCTCGCTGGCTTTGTCACACCCCTCTGCTCCTTAAGGGATGATTCAGGATCCACAGATCATCCAGTTCCAAAATTCTTCCAGCTACAGTAATAGGTTTGCACAGCCTGGGGGTGGGAATGGGGGGCAGGCAGTTCTCCTTCCTGCATCCTGAGCCTTCCTGCCACTGGAGCCACCAATCCCCCTTCATCCCTTAAATCCAACACAACTGGAAAAATCACTTCCCCGGCATCCTTCTTTGGCAACTACAAAACAAATCCCATCCACCGCATTTCCGGAATCATTAAGTCAGGCTTCCTAATTAAGGAGTTTGCAACTTCTGCTCACCTTAGAAATCACTGCAGGATCTAAGAAACAAATCACGCCCTGAAACACCAAGCCATCAGGGAAAACATGAGCAGATAAATAGCCTGTGTCCAGCCCCCTCCTCTCTTAGCTCTTCCCACCCCCCCGCCTGGCTGACAGTGACCAGGAGCAATTAGTGCTGTTATGTCCCGCTGCATTTCCCGGCTACATCTCAACTGAGATGGCTCCCCTTGTAATATTAATTAAAAACAGATTCTTTTTGGCAAACCCCCGAAGAATGGCTTCTGTGGCAGGCTTCTTTATTAAGCCTCTAAGACGGCAAAATGCATTAAGATATTGTGACAAGGGGCTGTGAGCAGGGACGATGAAGGCCAGGCAATCCAGCCAAGAGCTATTTGAAAAATCTGTCTGGGAGCCACAATTAGATGCTACTGTGAGTGAAATACAATTAATCTGAGCAAATCTGTCACTATCTTGCACATTAGGAGTAAATATTTTAGAACACGGTCCAGCTGAATTAGTTAAGGGTACGAAATCCTGCCTGGAAGAATCTGTGTGTTCCACCTACCAGCGAGCTCAGGGGAGCGTGATGGGGAAGAGATCTGGAATTATCAGCATCTCCCCATTTCTCATCATGAAGGTGTAGTGTTAGGCACATTAGCTGGAAACTACCTGGCAAGTCATTCCAACCAGGCACACTGCAGGGGCCGCAGCCTGCAAACTGCACTGCTGCTGCTGCTGAGGGTAAGCTGCTGCGAGGGATGGGGACCAATCTGAAAGAGGCAGCACGTTCTCACTGGAGCTCTGGGAATGGGGGTCTCCACAAAGGGTTAATCCAAGGAGGAGGGAGCATCTAGAGAAGGGCTGTGCTTTTGCAACTTTCCACTCTCCAGAGCCATTTGCCAACTCACTGAGCAAGCAGGGAGGCTTCTTCCTTCATCTGAAGGAGAACGACAAGATGATGTGTTTCTCTATCTCCCTGTAAGCCACGAGGATTGGGCTCCCTCTGGATGTTTGTGAAACACTCTCTAACCCATTAATCACCAGGATCCCAGCTGGAGACAACTGGAGAGGAAGAACAAAATCCCTCCTCCAGAGCAGATGTTCCAAGGCCAAGTTTGCACACCTCCCACCCCAAACACCTGGCAGGGCAATAATGTTCAGAGGAGGGGCCCAGACCCCATCGCCCTACTGATTCCTTCCAGCTCATGCCTGCTGCACATCTCCCACTTTGAGTTCCAAGCCATCCCACCCTAGTCTTGGAACCAAAGCGAACACCTGGCCCAAGCTATGGACAAGGATCTCCTTGTCCCCTAAACCCCCAGGCCACATGCTGGGCACATGGGATGGGGTGGAGGCCCCTTTCTTACATGTCTGTCTCCTGAAACCTGACTGTAAACTCTCCCATTTGGAATTCAATGTGTGGCTACAGGGGATGACTGAAAACTGTCCCCAAAATGGAACTCATGTCAAGTAATGAACCTTACCTACAGCACTTGGAAGGAGAGCTGGAAAAAGGCAACATGTTAAAAATGAAACTGGTGGCCTTCCAGGAGAAGGGTGAGTTTAACACTTTGGGAAACCAGATGGAAGTCTAGAAGAGGTTTTGGAAAAGAAAATGGAAGTCTTTGCATCAAAAGAGCCTGCTGCTAGGCCCCATGTTCTCTGCCTGTGGGGACATCTCCCTCTGCTTTGAAAGCAATGATGAAGGGACCTCCTGAAGTTTACCATCCCCATCATTCCTCACCTGGCTTTTATTTATAGCAGCTTCTTTTTCTGCCCATAGGAAAGAAGCAGGGGAGAAAGAAGCCGACTGGGTAATGCTGCTGAAAGTGGTTCCCAGCAACTCTCCCAGGAGTGACAGGGGTCATGCAAGTATGTTTCCCTGCCTTCCTTAAAGGGCAGCACAGATCTGACACTCACCGACGACTGTCTGCTGGTATTACCTGCAAACATGGCCAAAAGAGGCAGTCCCTCTGCGGTCCAAGAGGGAGAGACAGGATAGGGCATATGCTTGCCCTTTGCTTGGCCACCAAGACTGGCCAAGAGCAAAACTAACAACCCCCCTGGGCTGTTGGTGGATCATTTGAATCTAGTCACTAAGGACTCCAACTCCAGCTGGTCCACTTCCCAGGGCCCTTTTGGCCCTCTTCTGGCTGAAACAGATCCATTTCCCAGGGAGCACAAAGCTAGATTCGCCCCCTCATTTCCTCTACTGCACAACTGCACTCAGTGTGGACAGGAAAGGTCACGCACATTTAACTAGTATTTTCAGAAAACATTTTCTGTAAAGCCCCATCTTTAGGGGCTTTGTCAATACACAAAAAATGATCCTTAAAATAAAAGCAGAGACACAGGGAAACGCTTTACGCAGAGTGAATTTATATTGTCCAAATGTGATAGTACTAAAGCCACAGGTATGCGAGGATGTCATCCCCTCCTCCTAGGGATACATTTACACATCTGATCCACGCTCTTCCTGGGGCAAACACACGCGCGCGCGCACACACACACACACACACACACTCTCTCTCTCTCTCTCTCCCTAATTAACAAACTAAAATGAAGTTGTGATTCACAGCTCCTGCTGTCAGAAGCTCTCTCTCTCTCCCTCGGACACACACATCCGAGTCCTTTCAGTCACCCATCCCAGCAAAGGCACAGGTTGTCCACTCCTGACCCCCAGAGCTCTCTAGCCCAAGCCTGTGGGGTCTTCACCGGAGGCAGATGAAGCTGACTCCACACATCCTGGGAACCCAGCGTCTGTTACCCAGGCTGGGCTGCCTGCCGCGTTGTGTACTGTGAACCAGGAAACCTGCACTTGGGTAATGCCAGCGTGCTGAGCTCTGCGGACCCCTAGCTACCCGCCCTGCTGAGGCAAAAATTTCCCAGAGAAATCTTTCCAAAAGTCGATCATAAAGGTAAATATGGGGGGGGCGGGGAGGGGTTAGAGGGGTGGCGGGGAGGGGTGTTCCCACCAAATGAGTTTCCCAAAGCTGCCTGTACAAACATCATCATTCTCCCACTCGGGTCCAGACTGCCCAACGCCTGCTTATGCTCTGGTCCGGAAAGGCTTTTGCAAGGCTGGCTCAGTAGGCGCCGCGGGAGAAAGTGAACGGAATGTGGGAGACCGTGGAAGCCCCGCTTCCACCCAGGAGCCCGCCTCCCACCTTTCCTTGGCTTGGCTGCACAACGCTGGGTGCTGGCGAGGCGGGGGAGCCCCTTCTGGCATGCGATGCGGGCCGCTGCAGCTGCCGGAGCAGTGACGCTACCCAGAGCGGGCGCCCCAGTCCGGAGCGCCGGAGCGACCACCTCTCGGTACAGCATCATCCCCGGGAACCGGAGAGCGAGGGGAAAGAGGTGGAGAAGTGCGCAGAACGCACAAGGGCCCAACTCCACCCGAGGAGCCGTTTGTGGCACAGGACAGGGCGGCGGAGGTGCGAGTTCTATGTTCAGCGACTTAATGTGTGCTTGTGCGTGCGTGAGGGCGAGCGGTGCGGAGGAGAACTGAATTTCTCCTCATGCTTTAAACTTTTTACTGCCTCCCCTACAGCTTTCCAGAAGCTGCCTGGGCTTGAAGAGGGGCCGGGTTACCTGAAGACCAAGGTTTGGGCCAGCTTGGCCCAGCTTCCCTCCAGGGCTGGGGAACCGTGCGCCTGCAGCTGTGAGCAGCGACCTCCAGGCATGTAGGAGTCTGGGAGTCCGAGTGGCCTCAGTCCCCAGGTTCCCTCTGACGTGATGACTGGGGTGAGGGAAGCCCCGGGTTTGGCAGGAATTAGTCACTCCAGCGGCTCCTTCCCCAAATCAGTCAGCGCCCTCACCCGCGACGCCCAGCTTCTACTCCCCAACAGAAAACTCTCTCCGCAGAGTAAGGGAGAAAGTGACCACAGCTCCCTCTCCTCTCATTTGTAAGGCAACCTTGCCTCCCCTCCGCTCCAGGCGGCCCCGATCCTAGGGTCTCCAGAAAACAAACGCACACACTAACTACAACAAACTCCATGAACCTGTTAGGGGTCGGGGGGGGGCCCGACCCACCTTTTTTAAAAGTCGCGGCGCCCCCCCCCCCCCGCCTTGACCCCCGAGCAGCTACCTGCCCCCTCGCTCCCGTCCCACCATTCCCCAGGGGGCAAACAGACTGGCCGCCGGGTGAGTACTCACGCTGCTGTTGTGTCCGGACCAGTGCACCATGGCCTGGTTGTGGGCCGAATCCCCCGTCAACGCGAATGAGGTGCTGGGCAGCCGGAGCTCTTCGGCTGCTGCCCCCCGGGCCCGCGGCGCCTTCCCGTCCTCCCGGAGCCCCTTGTCCACAGTGCGGCTGGCTCTAGAACCATCGGCCGGGGCAGTGGCCCAGGCATCCCCGCTCTCCAGGGTGCTGGGGGGCTGCGCGCGGCGACTCCTCGCGCCGCCAGCCTTGCCAGGAGCGGGGATGACCTGGCCCCACCACGCGCCCGCCGCCGGCATACCCCCGGCTTTTCCCCGCTTCTCGCCGCCGCCTGGCTGGAGCAGCAGCTCTGGTCTGGGCCGGCGCCCCAGCGCGGCGCCTCTGCGCGCCGTCGCCTGCTCTTCCGACCACTGGCTCGCCACTGCCCGCGGAGCGAGAAGAGGCAGCGCCGGTGGCCATGAAGCCGGAGCCAAGGTGCGCCCTTGACCGCCCGCCGCGCCCCAAGTGATCTCGGCCCCAGCTAAGACCCACGTCGACAGGAGCAGGAGCCCTGTCCGGGCAAGGGGCGCCCCAGGCCAGCCTGCAGGGCGCTCCGTGCGCGCTACCTCCATCCCGCTGCGGCTGCCGCGGCTCCGGCTGCCGAGTGTGTGGCGCCCGCCGAGGTGCGGGTCCGGCGCTGAAAGTGTGCGCGCGTCGTTGAGCCAGAGAGCGAGTGTGTCGGGGGAGTGGGGAGGAGGCGGCGGGAAGGAGGTGGCTCCGGCTGGCTCGCCTTGGCGCTCCGCTTCAAGCTTCGCTCCTCGCGCCCGCTAGCACTCTGGCCCAGAAGGGGATTCCACTGGAAAATTAGGAAATGCCCCTTGGGCACTTCTCTCCTTAAATTTAAGAACCCCACCGAGCTTCTCCAGAAATGTTTTTAAAAGGTATGCCCAAAGATAATTAGAAAATCCTCTTTTAAAATATGAAAATCAAGCCGGATCCAGGAGAAGGAGCTGGCAACAGACCCCAATCCCGAGTCTCTCCGAAATCCAGCCTCCAACCAGCTCCCGGCGAAGAGTTGGGAGCCGCTGATCGCCGCGTTTCGGGGTTACTCTTCGGGCCTGTTGTGGGGGGGCGGAGGATGGCACACGGAGAGGGGGGCTCGGAGGACGCGGAGGAGTAAAGTGTTTTCAGCACCAACCGTTCGCGCTTCGGCGGCGAGAGTCAGCCAGGAGCCTCCTCACGGAAGGCGGCGCGCGGACGCCGAGCGCAGGGAGTAGTTACTCAGCTTGTGCTCCCCGGCCAGCCCCGCCCGGCGCCGCCAGCGGCCGGCGCCCCACCTGGTGTGGGGGCGCGGAGAGTGCGTGCGCGCGTGTGCGTGCGCGCAGGCGGGCGGGGTGAGGCGAGGGGTGCGCCCGGGCTGCGGTGGGGCGTCAAAGGGTGGGGTACCTGGCTGAGTGTGTGGGGGCACGCAGCTACGTGCGTGCGCATTAGCACGCGCGTGTGTTACTGTGAGCGATGGGGGAGGGGGCGCGCGCGAATCACGCACAAGCTGTTTGCATTTCCCTGATCGTGCGAGTCGTCGTAAAGGCAATATTGAGAGGAAGGCAGTCAGCGCTGGGCGGCCCCCTCCTCCAAACACCCCTGAATTTATGCCCCTTAAGCACTCGCAGGTTTAATCTGGTTGTTCTTTAGGCCCCCTGGAGGGCGAGAGGAGGGAGCCGGGAGACCCCGGCGGCGGGGCCAGGGGCTCTCCTTGCTGGTACCGCGGCCTGAGCTGAGGAGGGAGAGTAGTCGAGACTGTCTACTCCCACCTGCGAAGGCGCTATCTTCCCGCCTGGGACTGCAAGGCCGCTCACTCACCTTCTCCAAATCTGTTTCTGAGAGGGCGCAGGTGTTTTTTCGAAGTATTGGCGACTAGTTAGAGGGTGCCCGGCCCGGCCCGGCCCAGCGCCGCGCCAGCTTACGGGGCCCCTCCGGCCCTGGCTGCAGGAGCGTAGCCAGGGCGCTTGGCGCGGCAGGGACCCTTCATCCCCGTAGGAAGACGGAGACTTCGGGTAGGCTGGAGAGAGAGGAGCTAAACCTGGGGTCGCCCTCGAGTTGCAGTTTACAGGCCCCGGGTGTGTAGGGCAGCCTGCCGTCTCCAGGAAGCTCCCGGGATTTCTAGAGGTTAAGACCGAGAAGCAAGGAGTTGGAGGACGGCTATTAAGGAGGAGCGGGAAGGATGGAGGGGCCTTGGAGCGAGATGGTTTCCAGGCCCTTCCCTTCCTAAGAGCTCCTTTGTGGGAGATAGTTAAAACATAGCGAAAGGCAGGGAAACGCGGGAGGTGGAGGGGGAAAGGTGCGGTGAGGTGAGAGAAGGGAGTGGAGGAGAAGACGAGAAAGAAAAAAGAGAGAGGAAGAAGACAAGGTGTTAGAAAGCGAGAGAGAATTGTGCGAAAGAAAGAAGAGGCGAAGGAGCTCCAGGGAAGGGCCAAGAAGGCTGGAGCAGGCGCCGGCAACCTGAGCTGGCGGAGGGAGAGCTACAACTGCGGTTCCCGGAGCCCCCACCTCGTGAACGTGCTTTCCACCGGGAGCTAAAATGGAAATTGCGAACGAGAGAGGTGGGCCTGAAAACGGAGCCGTTGACAACGTCTAGCCCAGAATGATACGCTAGCTAGTGTCTGGGTTTCCAAAGAAAACTTTGGGCGCCTAAGGCCGAGGTGGGTGGCCGGTCAGGCGCAGACGGGAACCGGCCATCCGCGGGTGTCCAGCGCCCCTGCCGGGGAAAGCTGGCGCTGCAGTCTGAGCCCAAGCCCAGGGTGCGGGAGGATGCGGGACGGGCGTCTCCTCTCCTCAGGCTCTGGGTGGAGGTGGGGGAGTTTGGACTGTCTGGGCGGCTTCTGGTCAGGAGGCTTATACAACCGGAAGGGTGCAGCCACCTAACCCCAGGCCACAGGGAAGTGCGCCGTGCATTCCCATCGGCTCTCCGCGATCTCTAGTGAGAGCAGTCAGGGCCTTGAGAGCAGAAGTGGGGCCTTCCCTCTCTCTCCCCCACCTAAGGAGGCCCTTCCCAATATAACCCAAGGAAGGTGCTGACCCTTGGGATGGACTTGCGGAGATGTGGCTAAAGAGCTTTAAAAAACAGATAAAAGACCCTCTCAGGTGTGACAGTTTCAAGTGCCTCCTGCACCAGTCCATCTTCTCAGATGCCTTGCTCCAATAACTATCACCTCTTCCTTCTATCCTCAGTCTCTCCCTCCTCCTCCCTTTGCTTATGAACTCTTGGGTGCTTCCTTCACGTAACAATCCTTGCCCTCAGCCCTGTGCTACCCTTCCCTCTCCAGCCTCCCAGTCCACACCAACCTTCTCTAGAGCCCAAACCCCTCCAAAGAGACCTACAGTCTCCCCTTCCTCACCATCCACTCTTTCCTGGGTTTCCTGCAGTCTGGCATCTGCCCTCAGGTGACTCAGCAAAAGCCCCACCCTACCCCCAACAAACACCACAGTTAGCTTTGTCCAAAAGCCTCTGCTTTCTGCACTTTTAAGCACGTCCCATCTGGAAAGATCTTATTGGTCTACGTGGTACAATGGTCTCCTGGGTCCCTCCTACTGTTGACCAGCCTCAGTCAAGCTCACCAGCCTCTCTTCCCCCACTCCCACCACCACCTCTTAAATTCTAAGCCACAACCCCCCAAATTTCTCCCAATTATCTGTGCTTGGCTCTCATTCTACTGTCCCTCCAAGTGAACTCAATGATCTCCATTTCTGTGCTTCATCTATTTTCCCTTGCTGTTGACTCCTCAATCTACAGCTCTACTCTGGCTTCTCCCTCGAGCTTCACACCTGAATTCCACATTGCATGTCCACGCTGAAATCGGTATGAAGCAAGTCCTAAAAATCATCTCCCATCTTCTCACCCAAACTAGACACTTGACACCCACCTTGACTTCTCCCTCTTTCTAATCCCCACATCCACAAAACCAGTTGTCAAGTTGTCAAGACTACTGAAAAAGTCTCTTTACCTACCCTCTCTTGTCCATTCCCAGATCCTCATCATCTCTTCTCTAGGGTTTTACAATAGCTTCCTATATTCTCCTGGTCTTCATTGCTTTCCCTCTTCAAGCCAACCTCCATACGAGCACTGTCCAGTAGAATTATGCCAGCCACATAGATAATTTTCTAGTAGCCTCAATAAAAAAAAGAAACCAGTGAAGTTAATTTTAATAAAATATTTAATTTAACCAAGTATGTTCAAAATATTTTATTTCAACTTGTAATCAATATGAAAATTATAACAAGACATTTTACATATTTTTGTACAAAGTCTTCAAAATCCAGTATGTGTTTTACACTTAAAAACCAAAAAAAAAAAAAAAACCCATTGCCATCAAGTCAATTTCGACTCGGTAGAACTGCCCCGTAGGGTTTCCAAGCTGTAATCTTTTCTTTTTTGTCATTAAGATTTTTATTGGAATAAGAGTAAAAAAGTACCTGAGCTGTTGAGACAGTACATTATATAAGATGAAGAAAGGCCAGGGGGCTAGTGAGATACCTGCATCTAACAAGTCTGACATTATATTGCTTAATCAGCATTCCAAACACTCACATTTCTTTCTGACTTCATCCTGAGACACCCACAGATTCAGAGTCCTTGCATGTGCTACATATACTGGTACACTTCTTGTACCGCCTGTTTAAGTGAAGGAAGGAGTTGTCGTTACCCTTTGCACTCTATCATATTACTAGTCTCAGTGTCCATCAATTTCTTGTCCAATTCTTTTACATTCATACAAAGCATGTTCTTTATAAAATAATGAAGGTAATAAGCTGTATATAAAATGTAGCTTACTCGTTACATAAGACACATTTTTCCTCAATAAAAACTCTCATTTCTCTAAATATGATGACCCTAAAAATAATTTTCTTAATTTAAGGAAAGATAAGGAGTTTAAATATACAAACTTTTTTTTTATTGTACTTTTTAGAGGAAGGTTTACAGAACAAATAGTTTCGAATTAAACAGTACAGATATTGTTTTATGACAATGGTTAACAACCCCAAAACATGTCAACACTGTCCTTTCTCAACCTTGGGTTCCCTATTACTGGCTTCCCTGTCCCCTCCTGCCTTTTAGTCCTTGTCCCTGGACTGTTGTGCCCCATTAGCCTTGTTTTGTTTTATGGGGCTGTCTAATCTTTGGCTGAATGTTGAACCTCGGGAGTGACTTCATTACTGAGCTAAAAGTGTGTCCAGGAGCCATACTCTGAGGGTTTCTTCAGTCTCTGTCAGGCCAGTAAGTCTGGTCTTTTTTTGTGAGTTAGAATTTTGTTCTACATTTTTCTCCAGCTCTGTCCGGGACCC